ACATAGGGGAGGCAATAGCCTAGTGGTATTATCACTGGACGGTTAATCCAGAGACCAAGGTAATGTTCTGGGAGTCCAGGCTTGAATCCTGCCGCGGCAGATGGTGGGATTTAAATTCAATAAAAATCTGTAACTAAGAGTCTAATGATGACCATGAATCAATTGTCAATTGTTGGGAAAAGCCCATCTGATTCACTAATGTCCTTTAGGGACGGAAACTGCCATCCTTACCTGGTCTGGCCTACATGTGACTTCAAACACACAACAATGTGGTTGACTCTTAACTGCCCTATGGGATGGGCAATAAATGCTGGTCTCGCTAGTAATGCCCTCATCCCATGAGTGAATTAAAAGGACAGTGTTCTTCTTTATCTTTAATTTCCCTTCCTGTTTGTATTGCTTCAATGCCAGTGGAATAAAAAGTCCCTGATTCCATGATCTTTGGATTGTACATATGTTTAAATCTCATGTTACAAGAAATTGACCATTTGATTGGTCATAGCAATTACAAACCAGACATCACATGGTGAAAATCCAGGACCGTTTCCACCCAGATTGCTAACCTTCCACACCAGGTCTTTTATAATAAAGTATTGGTAATCCTATATTCCCTCACTCCAATTACAACAATTGAGGTAGTTTTGATCTTCCAAAGTATTCCCATAACTCGGCACATTTTATGACACACCCAAATACAGCGCAGCACCCTATAGAGCAGGAGTGGTTATCAATAGATTTATCTTATGAGTCCCTGTTGCAAATGTTCCACTCCAATATATTGACAGCGATGATTTTAAAATAAATAAATTAATGTTTCTATTTACGTTGGTAAAAGTGTGCTGACGATAAAGTCATCAAGAAAAATGTCAGAGGCAACAATTTAGTTGATTGATCACGTATCCCTATAGCCAGCCTGTTGCTAAGTTCCTGTCAGTTCCAGTCAGTGAAACTTTGACATCCCCTTGTACCTATGATATGGGACTTAGGCTGGGAGTTGCTCTTGAAGGTGTAGGATGACTTTGATTCCCTGACCCACACTCAAGCATACCTTCATGCTGAGAATGAGGGCTTATTGAGTTGAATCTACCCACTGCTTCGCTTTTACGACTTTATTTACATAGGCCTAAGAGTGCACATGCATTAAATCTCAGTTTCTTCTGACTGCACAGCAGTTTGCTACTATATAACATTCTGAATGTAGTGAACCATCCCAAGATACTTCATAGGATGGTAATCATGCACAAATGGGCAGTGACTGGAGAAGGAGGCAATAGGACAGATGACTGAAATGCTTAGTCAGGTAGTTAGGTTTACAGAGCAGCTTACTGGAGATGGCAGGGAGGGTCTGGTGTTGACACCTGAAGGCACAGCTATCAATGATGGAATAAAGGACATGGAGAAGAGACATGAAGCTTGAATTGGGCAAATGCTAAATTCTCTGAGTGGTTAATGGGTCATAGAGAGGTAATGAGTCAAGAGATTTGAATAGGACTAGAAACAAATGGTGTACATTAGCCAGCATAAGGCATTAAGCACAAATCTACCCCACACTCCCCATGCCACACACCCCACAAACTGCCTACTAATTTATAGCTTTCACAAAAAGGGATAGAATTGAGAAATCCAGTCTCTGAGATGCGAGCCCTTCTGGTCAGTGCAATGTGACAGATGTTAGTATGAATCAGTGGCTCTAATTACAGTTTGAATTTTCACATGTTGATGCTGCAGTGGGAATACAACAAACTTGCTTTGTAATATGTACGTGCCGTGTCACTCACAAATTACACAGCAGCGGATGTAGCGGACTGTTAGCTTTATCTGGTGCAGAATATGTGTAGGCATGATGTAGTTGTCATTGATTCAGGATAGACATAAACATGTTGTTAGACAAGGTTATTGTAGTTTGTGATAGTATATTTAGCCCAATCCAAAACCAAACCAGAAGCAAACCAACGACAGGAAAAGGAAAACCGAAAGAACTGCAGATGCTGTAAATGAGGAACAAAAACAGAAGTTGCTGGAAAGCTCAGCAGGTTTGGCAGCATCTGTGGAGAAAAAAAATTGTTTTATATTGCGGGGATTGGGGGAGGGGGGGTGGGGGGTGCAGGGGTTGGGGGGGGCGGTGGGTTGTGGGGTAAGGAGTAAATGATAGGACAGCACCCGAAGAGAAAGAAGTGCAATTGGATAGACAGAGGAGTTGAATACGATCTGACTGGGAGGGTGAATGGTTGTTAATGGGGGCTGTCAGTCACTACCAATAAGTAGTGTCTAATGTGATTAGGCTATGTGAGTAGGCTATGTGATAACAAAGCGTGGTGTGTGGGGTAGGGAGCTGGGACATAGGAAGTTTAGGCCCTGAAAGTATTGAACTCAGTATTGAGTCCAGACAGCTGCAGGGTCCTGAAGCGGAAAATGAAGTATTGTTCTTCCAGTTTGTGCTGAATTTCACTGGAACACTGCAGCAAGCCAGAGACAGAGAAGTTGGTCAGTCAACAGGGTGGTGTGTTAAAGTGGCAGGTAACAGGTAGCTCAGGGTCTTTTTTGCGAGCAGAACTAGATGTTCTGGAAAGGACAGGAAAAGGGCTGGGAAACCCATTCTTTGCATTTTTTTCAATAATGACAATGAATTGAAACCCGTGGTAACTTAGGAGAGGTCAGCTGTGCAGCAACGGGACAATGCAACTGACCACAAAGCCCTGGTGGAAGGAAAGAAAAGTCACTCACTGAGTTAATATCCAGCAAATACCTTTACAAAGGAGACATATAAGGAGTGTAAGTCTGCGCTCTAGTTACCCCACAGACTCACATGTTAAAATGGTCACTTGGACAAAGATACACAGCAGATTTTGTTCATAGATTTTGGTCAAAGTCTAGCAGCTAATTGGGTTGTACATAACTCAGACAATATCCGACCATGGGTATTAGACCACAGCTTCAAAGAAACAGAAAGAAAAGGCGCATATGTTGGGTTTTCTGGCCAAGGATTTAACAGTTTTGCCTGAAAGAGAAGTAATACTGCTCATCTCCCATCCTGACCCCCAGGTCTTTGATATTTGCAGACTAAGCTCTGATAACTTCCTTCGACCTGATTGGTGTTTTAAATCAAGGATCCATTTCCCTTCAGTAGGCTTGCCTCCTCCAAAGAACAGATTAAATTTGGACACAGTAGAACAAAAGGTGGGATCCATGTAGATAATCATTGTCCTTATCTTAGTCACACAACCCACCCAGTTAAGTTAAATGGGGGGGGATGCTCAGATCAGAGTCTAGGGACTGAATTATTTGTCCCGCAAGTTGAGAGTGTGGAACTGTGAAAATGTCATGCTCCACAAATCCAATCTGGCCAAAAATACCCAGGAAGCGTTGACTTTCATTCTAGGGTGGCGAGGTTTCCTGGTGGTTGAGTAGGGCCACCTGAGAATGACCACAAAGACTGCATGGCATGATGGCGGGCTGGGTTAATGGTCTGCCTCAGTGATGTACACTGTACTGAATTCTCATCACTCATACGTCCTCAACCCCCGTTCATTTCCATTCATCTCATCACTCATACCTCCTCAACCCCCATTCATGTCATTCATCTCATCACTCATACCTCCTCAACCCCCATTCACTTCCATTCATCTCATCACTCATACCTCCTCAAC